TCCTGTATCCCAGCACATACAGACACGTTTGAACGCGACATTCTACTCATGGGTGACAAAGCTCTGTTCTCACTGTTAAGAAATTTGAAACTTCCACATTTGGTCCTAATATCACTATGTGACCTCCAAAATGCCATTTAAAGATAAATTAATTCTGCACCAACAAATGGAAGCTCATATCTGTGACATTTACTCTATGGCACAAGGGCTCTAATTATAACATGGAAGATATGGCCCCAAAATTGTGGTATAGAGGGAAAATCTTGCATTTTGAAGTCCGAAAAGAACCAGGGCTCAAAGCCCTGCTCTGATCCTCTCACTGGTTGTGTGCATTTAGGCAACTGACTCATCCTCTCTGATGAGTTTCATCTGCGACATGAGGGTAACGACAACTCTTTCTAGGGCTTGACTGTGCCCAGCACAGAATGAACCCTTCATGAGCGTCTGTTCCCACCCACCCCCATTCAGGGGGTAAGTGTCATGTAAGTCCAAACAAAGATGCCCAGTGACTCAGGGACCGGCACTCTCGTGCCTGAGTCCTGAACGGCTGAGTGAGAGGATAAGCCCTCCAGGCTGTCTGTACTTTAATGAAGCACAGTGAAAGAAAACAATGATGTTTTCTCCAAAATTCATACATTGTTTCCATAAATGGGAATTGGATTTTCATATTATCTTTTCATCATTTCACTATGAAAATCTGTGTTTTCAAGATACAGTAGCCCTTGTGTTACTGGGAACTAGTCAGGAGCCTTCAAAGATTCCCAAATTGCTCTATTTCTTAAGCTGGGTGCACATCTTGTTATTCTTTAAACTGTACTGAGTTCCTACAGCTTGTTTATATAGTGATGTATTTCGTAATTAAAAATAGGGTAAGCCTTCATATTGTGAGAAATCCCATGGGCACTTAGTAAGGATAAAGCATTAATATTTTGTCCACTTGAGCTGATGCATTTTTGAGCCATTAATGATATTTGAGGGTTTATAGTTTAGTACTTAGGAGGCCTTTTTCAATGCAACTTGAAAGTCTATTTCTGAATAACTGCAATTTTGACAATGCCAAAAAGGTGACTCAGAGTCATTTGTCCAAAAAAAAAGGCAAACCAGATTAGAGGGCAGAAGACCTAGGTTCTGGTCCAATTCTTTCACCAACAGCATGGTAACTTCCACAGTATTCACAAAACAGGCTTAAGATCAGGTGGTATTTTGTCTAACACCCTCACACAGGATAACTGTAAACTATAGGTTATTTTATGAAGACAGGCTAAACGCCGCCAAACTGATGCTGCTCCCATCTTCTCATGCCTTCTCTCAGGACATTTTTTACCCCTAGTTTTTGGTGTACTTATGGCAACAAGTTAAAAAAATAACAATTAATGATTCATCTTTTCATGATATTATTGTAATAATCACAGTAATAATCGAAGGAGCCATCTACAAAAGTAAACAAAGCACTGATCAGTTCAATGGCACAGGCATTTGTACTGAGAAATCACTGATATACACACACACTCGAGGCGTCAGGAGACAAACGAGTAATAAGTAGAAAGCAGATGGGAGGACTGTCTCATAAATAGCCTGAGCACATGCTTCAGACATAAGCGAGGGAAGGGGCCCCCAAAAGAGAAAAGAGTTTGATGAACTTACCCAGAAGCCAGCAACCAGAAAACCTAGCAAACTACTAATTATTTTCAGGTTATATGTATTTTATGCTTTAGAGTTTAGTGTCATTACTGTTGATTTTTTAATTTATTTCATTTAAGGAAAAGCATCATAATCTTTGTAAAACTTAAAACCTCCAAAGATTATCAACCACCCTGAGAAGCAGAAATCATAATAGAATAGAGGCAGAAGCAACGTAAATAATTTTAGCCATCCGTTCTGCCTCTTGCTAGATATTTCACAATTTTTTGACCAATGACATAAAGCCTATGATCAGAATGCAATATGCTAATCAGTTTAATCTAAAAAACCCAGTGGTGTGGTTCATTCCATTAAATAAATGACATTAAATTAATTTTATTAGTATAAAAAATGGTTTTCCTCCTCAAATAAATAAAGTCAATAATGATCTACTTTTCACGGTACATAGTAATTTAACACATCAAATGTTTTATCATGCAAAACATAAAATGTGAAATAAAGTTATGAAAATATTTATAATAAATGCCCAAGAGTGGACTGGAGCAACTTTTGGGGGGAAAAGGAGGAAAATAAATGGTTAACTGCCAGCACACTCACTCATGCTGGAGGACACAAAAAGGTTCACAGCAGTTGTTAAATTCATTTAGAGAAACTCACTTTATTTTTCCAACAGAGCTCTCACCAGCTAATCTGTATTACAACCTGCAGGAGTCTTAATACTCTCAGCAGGATCAAGATTCGGGCCACACTGATTCGGCTATTTAATCTTGCAAGAAAACAATATTTGGCAGGAAAAGACCCCACAGCACTGAGGGGGTGTCCCAGAGATTTGTTGTGAGCACAGACTGGGCCAAGATCACCCAAGGTGGAAACCAAACAGCACTAAGCAATGTTTATCATTTCCTTTCGGTAGCTCTGTACTCAAACATGTCTGTACACTTTACGTGTGTATGGGAAACATACATATCACAGGTGCATATGTGCCTCTTGCGGATATGTGTATGATTTTTAAAAGCAAAATGTTTTCTCAATATTTTGGACCAGGCTATGAAATTTTATTTTGGAAGTTATCACTACAGAGTTTAGGGGAAGGAGATAAAGAAAAATGGCAATAGTTTTATTTTCAAAACCTTTCAACTTCTTAAGCACTGAAAACCAAAATAGAGAGAACATATGTATGAATTATTAAATGTATGCAAAAATGTATATTTTTTTTTTTTAAATGTATATTGATAGTTTTAACCATCCTCAAATTAATGAGTTTGATGATCAATATTCTTCTATAAATGAGCATTTTTTTAGTTTATATGTAATACTATGGTTTGATTAATTTAAATGGTATTTTCTGGAAACCCATACTAACAGGCAGAAAATACATAAGGAGACAGGCAAACTTAAAAACAAAATTGATAGCACCAATTGACAAAAAAACAGTATGAATCATGACTCAAAAAAGTGATTCAGGCCCAGCCTGGTGTGGCTCAGTTGGTTGGGCATCGTCCTGGGCACCAGGAGGTTGCTGGTTCAGTTCTGGTCAAGGGCACATGCCCAGGTTGTGGGCTCTGTCCCTGGGAGGGGGCACGCAGGAGGCAGCCAATCGATGCTGCGCTCTCACGTCGATGTTTCTAGCTCTCCCTCCCTCTGTCTCTAAAAATAAATATTCTAAAAAAAATGACTCAGTTAAATTCTTCCAACAACTATTTTCAAATAGCCATGGCAAGGGTTCGACTCCTTTACCTCCCAAACCTCCCTCTATGGAGCATTTATCGCTCTGAGCAGCAATGATCTGCTCCCCAGTAAGAGAATAAATTGCAAGCTCCGTGAGGTCAGGGGTCACACCTATTTTATCCCTCATTCTATCCCACCCCAACCACCTCCAGCGAAGTGCCTGGCACATAATAAACACTGAAAAATGTTTCTCAAGTCCAATCATTGTTTCCAAAAGTGGTTTCTTTTAAAGGATATTTTTTATTTACAGATACCAAAAATACGCACATTTGAAAATCTGATACAACTCTTTCAGCAATCCTGCCTCAATCTACATTTCAGTAGTAATGTCTCCCTGCCCTCTAACAAGCAGCTGTTGCATGTTCCTCACCTCATCATGTTTCTTCCTTCCCTTGCCCATTTCAGCGCCATCCTCTCGCTCATAGATCCCTTTACGTTGCCCTGAGGCTCCCCTCCTCCGTGAAAGCCTCTCCCACTCACTTCATGCATCCTAACATTAGTGTAAAACCCATGCAAAAAGTGGTTCTTCATATTTTCTGCAAGCACACGGCCTGTGCAACACAATGTCCATAGCAAATATTAAAGGAACAAACACCTCTGCACACGTGAGGTAACTGTAGTCTTATTCTTTGCAGTCAAACATGAACAAGAAATATTGTTTTCCCTCGGAGCCCTCAAAATAATTACACAACAACAGTAAATATTTAAGTCGGTTCGTTTGGGGAAATCAATTCTATCAAAAGTAACAAGTTTTCAGAAGAACACAATGATTTTAAAGGTTTTTTTTCCTTTTGTTCTTTTTTCTAAACCTATACTCTTTTTCAGTTTGCTAAACACAAGCAAATTCTGACTTGTGAGATTTTTAAGAAGGAAATGGTACAAAAGCTTAATTCAAACAAATTAAAGGTTGACTTTGTCATAATTAATATAGCCACAAGGGGAAAAGTAAATCAGAAAGACGAGCAGACCAAAAAAAAATGATCATGACTTCTTGTCCTTGGAACCAAGTCTGGAGGAACTTCACAAAAACAACAGGTCCTTCAAACAAATATTAGAGATATGCTTTTACAAGCAGCATGGCATATAGCTCTGTGCAGAGGAGCAAAAGATGACAAAGCAGCCCTGACAGCAGTGAAAAGAAAGCTATAGTAGAAAGTACAAGCAAAAAATAAAGGAAAGCAATATCCATAACATAATTCTTTTGGGAAAATGAAATGGTAAACTAGAGAACAGATGGGCATATACTTTTTAAAAAAGTATTGCTTCTAACTGTTAATCATGCAATTTTCTTTAATTTTATAAACTTAGCTTGGGTTACCAATGGGTTTTAATCAAATTTCTTTTTTTCTTTTTTTTTTTAATTTTATTTTTGTTTAAAATATTACAGATGTCCCTTTTTCTCCCCAATGACCCGTTCCACCCCAGCCCTTCCCCCTCCCCAGTCCCTGTCCCCACCATTGTCCGTGTCCTTGGGTTGTGCATATATGCGTATAAATTCTTTGGTTACTCTCTCCCCCTCCACCCCCGGCCCTCCCAAATTTCTGTCTCCCTTGATTCATGACCTCCTAATAAGTTAAAGTGACATTTGACTATTACACTTATTAACTAAAAGAAAAAGGTTTTAAGCTTACCTCCAAATATCCATTGAAATTATAGAGCATAATTATTAATAATATTCACATTTGGAGACTCCGCAAATATATATGCAAGATTTTTGGGTTTTCTTTAATATTCAGTATAACATGTACTCTCCATAGCTATGTTCCAAAAGGTATAATAAAATCTGAAAGAAAAGTCAGATAACTTTTTAAGTTTTAAATCTTTAAAATGTACCAGAAATTGAGACTTAAAAAAAAAAAACAACTCGTCTTTATTAGCCTTTCCCTGTGACATAGGCATATTTCTTTTCTATTGTCACACCTCTTCTCTCCTTTTTCTTCACATCTGCCCAGGCCAAACTGCTGGCACAGGTCACGTGAGTGACCTGCCTAGCTCAACAGAGAACTGGAAAACTTAAAAACATAATTACTACTACTCTATCTTTGCTCCTATAAATGACGAAGGTTCAAAAACCACCAATAAAAAGAGGCTTGAAAGGGCCAGTAAAGGACTGGAAATAGGACCTAGAAGGAATTTTGTTTTTTAGTTAAGATTGTTCAGTTTGGAAACAGGAAAAAAATAAAAACTGATTGTATAAGTTTTCCTGCAATGCAACAGGTGGTGTCATCCATCTCCACCAGATTACAAAATGTATGTTACTTAATTATCTCCAAATTACCCTGTGATATACACAGATCATTTCTCATTTAGTCCTGTTGTGAACCGAATTGTGTCCCTCCACCCCAAATTCAAATTTTGAAGCCCAACCCCATGTGACTGTGTTTTGAGATGGAGCCTTTAAGAAAGTAATTAAGGTTAAATGAGGTCATCTGGTGGGGCCCTGATCCTATTCAGTCAGTGCCCTCACAAGGAGAGGAAAAAACACGAGAGATCTCTTTCTCTCATGCATGTGCACTGAGGAAAGGTCATGTCAGGACACAGTAAGAAAGTGGCCATCTGTAGGCCAGGAAGACAGCTCTCACCAGAAACCACTCTTCTTGACCTGATCTAGGACTTCCAGCCTCTAGAACTGTGAGGAAATAAATTGCAGTTGTTTAAGCCACACAGCCTGTGGTATTTCGTTATGGCAACCTGAGGAGACTAATGCAAGCCCTATTTTTCTCGGGTGCTTAGACACCAAAAATAATTCCCTGGCTCTGACATTTTAAAACAGGGCAGTCCTTGCATTTCTAATATAATGAAATTTTTAGATGCCACATTAGAAGACAATTGGTCCTGCTTTATTGAGAGAATACTGCTACAATTTTTTGATGAAACTATAGAAATTTATTTAAGTAAAAATAGGAGAAAGTGAATAGGTGTTTATCAAATAGCACAAAACAAATGACTAATTCACAGTAATTTTAAAAGCTACTTTTCTTGCAAAGAGAAGTTTCGAAAGAGAGAATATGCAAAATTAGTCAATCTTTTAAATAGTATTGCCTCATTCATGTACTCAACACAGATTTACTGAGTACCTGCTAAGTGTCAAGCATTATTCTAGGTATTAGCAATTCCATGTTGAAGGGATTGTTTAGTTCCCTACAGTACTATGGCTCTTATCCTAAGAAAAGTTTTATTTGCCTAGACTTAGGTGGATGGAAAGGCACACTCTTCTGAAAAAGAGAAGAAATAAAACTTGAGGAAATAGAAAAATAACACCCTTACAATGGAGTAAAGACAGTCTCTTCAAGAAACGGTGCTAGGAAAATTGGACAGCTACATGCAAAAAAATGAAACTAGATCACCAACTTACTCCATACACAAGAATAAATTCAAAATGGATAAAAGACTTAAATGTAAGTCACAAAACCATAAAAATCCTGGAAGAAAACATAGGCAGTAAAGTCACAGACATCTCACGTAGTGGAATTTTCACTGATACATCTCCTAGGGCAAGAGAAACAAAGGAAAAACTAACAAATGGGGCTACATCCGACTAAAAAGCTTCTACACAGCAAAAGAAATCTGCTTCAAAATACAAAGGAACCCCACAGTATGGGAAAGTATATTTGCCAAGGATGCATCTGATAAGGGGCTAATTTCCAAAGTGTACAATGAAATCATACTACTCAGCAAGAGGAAGACAAACAATCCAATTAAAAGATGGGCAAAGGACCTGAAAAGACACTTCTCCAAAAAGGACATGCAGATGGCCAACAGACAAAAGATGCTCAACATTGCTAATCATCAGAGAGATGCAAATTAAAACCACAATGAGGTATCACTTCACACCTGTCAGAATGGCTGCCATCAACAAATCAACAAAGGACATGTGCTGGCAAGAGTGTAGAGACAGGGGAACCCTAGTCCACTGCTGGTGGGAATGCAGACTGGTGCAACCACTATGGAAAACAGTATGGAGGTTCCTCAAAAGATTAAAAATGGAGCTGCCTTTTGACCCTGTGACCCCACTTATAGGAATATACCCTAAGAATCCCATAACACTAATCAGAAAGAATATATGCACCCCTATGTTCATAGCAGCGCAATTTACAATAGCTAAGATGTGGAAACAGCCCAAGTGCCCATCAGTGGATGAGTGGATAAAAAGGCTGTGGGACATTTACACCATGGAATACTATGCAGCTGTAAAGAAGAAGAATCTCGTACCCTTTGGGACAGTATGAAAGGACCTGGAGAATATTATGCTAAGTGAAATAAGCCAGGCAGAGAAAGACAAACATCAAATGATCTCACTTAGATGTGGAATCTAAGAAACTTAATAAACTGATGAACAGAACAGATTCAGTGACATGGAAGCATGGATCAGAATGATGAATCTCAGAGGGAAGGTGGGCATGGGTGAGTGGGTGGGGAGAGATTGGCCAAAGAGTTTATATGCATATATGCATAACCCAAGGACACCGTCAATAGTGTGGTGAGGGACTGGGGAGGGGGTGGGGCAGGGTAGAAGGGGTCAATGGGGAGAAAAAGGGACATGGGTCATATTTGGAACAATTAAAAAAAAAAAGTGAAAAAAGAAAAAAAGAAAGAAAAATGACACCCTTAACAGAATTCAGTCATTTACTGAACAAATATTTATCAGGTAACTACTTTACCCTGGAGGACAACAGAATGAAGGAAAGATCTGGGAGTTTTAAGGAAGAAAATCAATGTGATATCTACATAGATCTTATTAGATGTTTGATTAAAATAAATCTAGAAAGATTAAAACACCTTGTAATAACCACCATTACAAGATGAAATTCACACAATGCAAGGGGGATTCACTCCTTAAAGTATCAAAATGGGTGTGTTTATCAGGGACGGTCCTGAGGAAGTCCCCGAGCTGGCAGCCTTGCTTGGGCAGAGTGAGAAGCCATAGGAAGAAGATTTGTTGGCACAAGAAGTCAATTCATTTGTTTCCCAATTTTAGCTCTGTGCTAAGTCCTCGGGCTACAGAGAAAAAGACACAGCCCAAGACTTCATAGAGTTCGGTCTAGGAGGAAGAAAGCTCATAACACAGCTATAGAACCAGGCTGTCAGGTTGGGGAGAGGAAGGGCAAGGCCAGGGAAGAGAAGGCAGCCTCTGAGCTGAGTGTGGATATGAGAGGGTGCAGACGGCCTCCCAGGCTGATCTTTGAAGTGGATGGGGCCCAAGTCCAAGTCAGACACCCAAGCTGGAGACCTCGGTTGGCACTAACCCAGGGACAGCCTCACACTCCATGCTAATGGTTTTGCGTTTTATCCCAAAGGCAATGGGCAGCCACTGACAGATTTTAAGGAAGAGAGTGACATCAGATGTGTGTTTTAAGAACCCTGCAAGCAACCACGAGACGAACAGCTTGGGAGGGAGAAGAGGCAGTGCTGTGGCAGGTGAGAACAGTCAAGAGACTTATTTCCACAACCCAAGCAAGGGGTAGAGAGGGCCTAAATTAAGGACATGACAAGAAAGGTAAGGTGCAAAGCTCCATGATATGCATTCTTGGATATACAAAAAATAAATTGAAAAGGACATGAATAATCTTCACCTTTATGAGTTTAGAGAGGTAAAACACACCCCATGGGAAATGCTAATTAAAGCCAAAATGTGGACTGTGATGTGTGAAATGAGTGGTTACAGATATTAGTGCTATCGTACAGAGCACTATCGTGATTCAGAGAGATCTCTGCAGCTGGGGTCTGAGTGTGTATCTAGGATCAGAGGCTGGGGATGTCATTCACAGATAGTGTGAAATTGTTCCAAACAAGAGGAATGACTCTTAAAAAAGTCCAGAACACAGTAAGTTGGCAAGGTCTAAAACAAATGAAAGAACAGTGTTGAAGGGCAGTGACAGATGAGGTGAAAAATAATTTAGAAGCAGATTGTAGAGGGTCCTTAGAGTTGGGAATTAAAGGGTTTAGGGGATTAGGCTTTATCCTCACAGTTGAGGTCCAAGGAAAAAAATTTAGTGGGTCATAATTAGGGTCTTGATGAAACAGATATTTTGGGAAGTCATATGATGACAGTGTTTAAGATACAATGGAAGGAGCAGAAAGAGCCTGGAAGGAGATAAGACCAATTAGGAGGCTCCTGCAACAACTCGGGCAGGATAAGGGCCTGAACAATGTGGGACTAAAAAGAAAGGAATGGGAAAAAGGGGGTTCACAAAGGACAGATCTTCAGAAATCATTTGCATGAAGGACAGATCCTTCATCTTGTTTCCAAAAAAAAGTCATACATGTTAATTCTTTTATTACGGGGACCCTTCCTAAGCCTCCCCTTCAGACAATGCCATTTACAACCACAACTCTTGTACTTGCCATGCACAAGTAATTACTGGTCTGGGATGTATTTGTTTCTTTAAGTGACTGTGGCTAAAAAATTGAGGATAAAAAGAAGAGATCAACCTTTGAAGTTCTGCCCTAGGTGGAAAAATAAAGCAAAACCAGGTGTTAGGGAAACCACAGATTTGGAAATGAGAAAAGACTACGAGGTAATTTTCCGTACATTTTTCTCATGAAAGTATAAGTATTCCTTATAGAAATACTTTCCCTGAGGAGAGCTTGTTCAGAGGCTCTAATTAGACTCGATATGTCAAAGTGTTTCGAAATGAATAAAGCATTCATACATGTGTTAGGTATTAGAAGGAAAATACACGTTATTGCCCTATCACTTTCTCTGACATAGTTGATCTTTGCTTTAAAATAATGCTGCTGACCCACTATTACTGGAGAATGCATCAGAGTCGCTGGTTGAGATAAGATAAGTTGAAGATAAAGCATATCATTAAAGTAACGTATAAATTTGCTCTGTGAAAATAATAGACTTCAAAGGCTTAAATCTAAGCCACTGACCTCATAACCAATCATCTATGTTAATCAACCCGGTTATGAGTTAATAGCAAAACTACGATCCCATTCTGCTTTCAAACTACTTAGTGTACTAAGTTTTACTACTCAAAATTAGAAGATTGCTTATAAATTTTCATTAGTTATAAAATGTTATGCTTCTTGCATAAAGGAATAAAATTAACAAATAATTTTTTTTAATTTTAACATTAAATGACTTTCTTTTACCCTTCTCCCCTTTAAAAAATTCTTTTTTTAATGTTTGTCTACTATTAAAAGAAAGAAAAATCTGATGTCAGTTGTTTGGGTTCATATAAGGCCTAATTGCCTCATACACTCTAATTTCGCCACCAGTTTACAATTAGCATGCATTTCTCATGCATGAGTTGACCCAATTACATAACAAATTTTGCCTTTGGGGATTTCTCTTGACTGCTTGTCTTCTGTCCACCATACAACTCAATTTCACACTGTCAGCAGCCTGAACATGGCCACAGTCAGTCTCTGTCAAAATGATTTATTTAAATTACAGAGACCAGATCCCTAGATAGTTGTCCCCACCTTCATGCTCACCCTCACACTCAATCTAACTTTGAATCAAATCTTTTAATAGCCCATAGATACTGCTTTTCAATTATTAGGCCATGTTTGCCACCAATAATCTAATACTTTTTAAGTTAACTCACAAAGTCTTAGGGAACTAAATCAACACTATCCACTTGAGCTTATTAATGAGCATATAATTTCTTTTGCATTCTAAGAAGTCAATGAAAAATTATATAGCTACATCAAAAGCCTAAGAATAATTACATTTCAATATCAAATTACAGAGACACTCTTTTTCCCATAATGTCTTTTAAAAAGACTTCAATCTTAGCTTTTTTTATAAAGTAAGTGTTTCTTATGAATGGGTATGCGAAATTGAAAATGCTAATAAAACAGGTATTTGGGAAACAGGAGAGATAACCAAAATTATAGATACTGACAGGGTAAGGGAAAGAACATACAGCAGGTGGAAATACTATTATCTGTGTCGTCAGTGATCTAAGGAAAGGGGTTCTAACGATTTTCACTGAAGCCAACACACAGGCGCACACAGGCAGACACACAGACACTCACAGTTATTTCCTCCGTGAGTGAAAGACAGAAACAAATCTTGGCAAACCACATAATGGTACACTTACTATTTCAGTCAGTCTGTAAAATACAAGATTTGTCATCTGGGTGTTTTTTTCCCTTCCCCTTCATAAAATATTTCTCCGCCACCTGAAATAAATTTAAAAATAAGCATCTAAATCCTATCTACAGCACAAAGATTGTAAAAGTCTCTCGGAGTTGGATGTTACTATTTTATTTCACAATTTATCCACAGGCCATCTCAGCTAATTGAAAGTGCAGCTTGTCTTAGTGTGTAAGCAGGCAGAGTGACATCCATCGATAACCTGCCCAGGCTGGATGCGTCCCTCCGATGTCTGCAGTGATTCTGCCTTGCTCTCCTGCTGCTGGTTCCCTGAGTGCACTGCTTATAAACGCAAAGGGGGTGACCACCTGAATCAGAAACCACCTTTACAACCACCAACAGAAAAAAAGGTTTCTAAAAATGTCCAAAGGCACAGAAATTCCTCAATTCACGTTTGTACACTGTCCTTTAAGAACATTTTCCTAAAATATCACTTAATAAAAAAATTTCTGTCATTTGTGAATTTATGCCCTAGAATTGGGCTGGGAAGGTGGAGTGGGGGAGTCAAGAAGACATCTTCTGGAATTTCATGGAAAAAATTTTTTATTTGGAAATCAGTTCTGTTTCTTTCCAACCATTTAGTACATTCTATAATCTGGCCTCTTTTCTTATTCTTTCTGCAGCTCTACTAAGTGAGTAATATAGCAGAAGAATTTTAAATTGCAGCAGTTAATAAATCTCCCAGGGTCAGTGTGTTGTCATTATAGACCCCAAAAGAAGGAAGTCAAAGCTAAGCCCACTCTTACCCTTTCATTACACACAATTTCAAATTTACAGCTGTCTTTTATCCCACACCTCACAAACACATGCAGACTCAAGTAGGCATTTCCAAATGATTTCAGATCCCGGACAAATGATTATGAGAGTGTGTGAAAAAAATTTCATGTAACTAACACAGACACAAGCAGTCAAAAATGCCCACTCATCCATAACGTATTACCCAAAACACCTAGGAATTGTCATTAAATCCCCTGTTTTATGTCTTTATACTTTCTTTAGTCCAAAAGGGATTAAAAGCAGCTTAGAAAGATCCAGACAGATTGAGAGGGAAAAAAAGGAAAGAAAAAACTCATGGACAAGCATAACAGTGTGGTGATTGCCAGGGGTGGGGTATGTGGGGAATAAATGGTGATGGAAGGAGACTTGGCTTGAAGTGATGAACAGACGATACAGTGTACAGATGATGTGTTGTGAAACTGTGCACCTGATAGGGGTATAATTTTGTTAACCGTGTCACCCAATAAATTTATTAAAAAGGGGGAAAAAAGATCCAGACAACATTCAAAGTTAAATAAAGTAAAAACAAGTAAGAAAATGAAGCAAATGGAAAAATAAAGATTGTGAAGTCCCTGGCTTAGTAACCCACCTGCGTCATCCTGTATTAAACTTGGAACTCAGTTCTCATATCCCTTATAATTTCCAGGGTGAGCATCCCAGCATCTCCTGAAGAAAGAGTCTGGTGCCTGTCCAGACTGGACATTTTCTCACCTTCTTCATCTCAAAACAGACACAGTCCAGGCCACTGTCAAAAATATCTGTCTGGATTTGGCCAATATATTTCAGTATTTGGGTTTATCTGAAAGTAATGTGGAAAATGGAACTAGCCAACGTACCAACCTTCAGATTAAACCATGTTTCTTATAGAAAAAAGACCTTTGGCTAATATGGAAAACCTCATGAGATCACGGAAAAACGTTCATAAAGTTGCAGCCTTTATAAATGAACAATAAATTCACTAGACCTCAGAATACTTAATAGCTTCCCTTCTTCAAGAGTAAATCCCTACCAGTAATATTATGAAATCTATGTTTTTTACTACTATCCAAATATTAATATGCCTCATCATGCTAAAAGTACTACTTGCAAGACTGCTATGGTTTCTAATATCAAGATAATTGCAAAAAAAAAAAAATTAAGATATCTAAATTACATGCTTTTAAAAAATCATCATTGTCTAATTATAGACTTAGTCTAAATGGTATTTTTATATACTGTTATGCATATGATAAATATAAATTTATACGTACCTATGTTACAGGGTTTTTTTTCATAATGAAGAGTGGATCTGCAAACAGTCTCTGGTATTGAATAAAATGTATATTCCTGCTAATGATAAAGGTTGGTGAAATGATCAGTTCTTCTTATTAAATATGAATTTTGGCTTAATTTGAATATAAATTAAAAGGCCTACCTTTGAATCCACTGCAATCCTTATGTTAGCTGTCACGTGGATGTCTTAAGTAGAAATGTTTAGTTCTTTTTGAAATAAATTTCTGTGGTAGTCGAAGATTTACAGCTTTGTTTTGCGCAGCATTATTTTTATTTTTTTAAATAAAAGCTCTCCCAAAGTAATGCAAAAATAAGAAACACTACTGAATGTAACTGCCAGTGGAATGTGTCTTTAATTTGCATTTTTAAAAGAAAAATAGGTTTTGATTTAAGGAAAGAGTGAAGAGAAAGACAGATGAAGGGAATAATCTTCAGTGTTCATGAGTGGGGCTTGTTGAGAGCGGGTAGAAAATCTAAGGGACAGAAGCCATGAATCCTTAAAATTCAGCCCTTTCTCTTCAAAGGAAATCAGTCCTTCCTAAAATAAAATCTTCATTTAAAGAGCAAACAGTGGGTAAATATTAGGAAATATGAAAAAATAAAGTGTTTATTCTGTCTCCTCTCACTCCCTAAATGTTTTTTAAACATCATTCTGTTTTTGAACTTTTGACAAATAAAATTCTTTATCAAAGTATATACTATTCTATATGCAAATTTTCACACTATTTATAATGATAATAGCCCAATATCAGTGAGTTTTAAACCATTTGCTAATTAAATATTTCCTGGAAATTAAGGCTACAAAACTTATAACATTTAGATATATGAAGTTTAGTGACTATACAGGGGCACACAAGATAAACTCATAAAAAATGCTTATATGCACACACTTTTATGTCACGTTCACAGTTGTTATCATTTGTAGTCCCTCTTGATTACCTAACATTGAACTAATTTTTTCTGAATAAAATACATCTTAGCAAACTTTGGAAGAAAGAAACATAATCACAGACATAAATTACAAAAAGTAAGAATAGCTGTCGATCCACCTGTAATAAGTACTGAACTAACACTTTTCAGTACCTAATGTGCTTTGAACTTGTTAGTCTCAATTTTCTTTTTCAAAAAGAATATATATTACTGAACAAGACGCAGCTTTCAAACTCAAAGCAACTTCATAGGTAAATGTTTATTTCAAAAATGAGGTGTAATAATACTTCACTTTTACAAATGCCTAAAGTATGAAACCTTATATACACATATTTAGCAAATATGAGATTTCTCAAGATACTTGACCTTCTATGTATATTTTTTGTATGCTTATCCACACAGCAAAAACTAGCAATAATAATAAATGTCAGGTTTTTTAACTTAACTATGAGAGTCCTATTTTGGAGGAATTCAAAAGCTGAGAACCATTCAAAATGGAGTAAGATATTAAATCACAATAGTTTCTTTTAAGTTAAAGAAATATAGTCATTATTATTGGAGCATTAGGCTCTAGATAACTGATGATTTCATCAAAGAGAAGGAATTTCGCAGATGAACTCAGCATATATGAACTCAGCACTCACAGATGAGTGCTGCACTGAGTACTGCTTAGACACCAAAACAACAAGAACACTTCCAAGTCACCCAATCTCACTCTCTCACCCAGGAACACAAGTCACAGACCACGTCACTCAACAGTCACCTACATTACTGATCTGTTCCTGAGTCCTCTTCAGCCTCTGTAGTTCAGGAGTGTCGGTGACAATGCTGAAGCCCCTCCCTTTGCTTTCTTCAAAATCTCTTTTGTACTTGACCTAAGGGGAGAGGGAGGGGGCGGTAAAAGAAAGAAAGAAAAAGAGAAGTAAACAGAGGAATCATAAATCTCACTCAGGATAGGCCGGGGCCAAAAAAGCTGCTAAAATTGGAAGCAAGGCCTCCAGCACAGCTCTAGCAGCAAGCGGCAGGGAGAGGAAGGGGCAGAGCTGGACTGCCTGGTTTATATCCCAGCCACTCTACTGGCTGTGTGAGCTTAGGCAAGTTACTTAACCACTCTGTGCCTCAGGGGTCTCACCCATAAAATGGCAACAACAACAATATTTAAATAATGCTATTCGGTAAGTCTTACGGATAGGAGCAAATAGACTAATACTCGTACCTAGCCGACAGCAAGCAAGCAAGCAAGTGCTCCGTAATAGTTATTATTATCACCATTAATAGTTGTCCTACTGCTAAAGAAAAGGAAAGAAGAAATAGATGGAAAAAGAAAGCGTAATTTTCTTGTCAGTGACAAAGCATCATTTTGAGCCTGGACTGCACTATGGAAGAGAAAGACATATGAAATCCTCAACAGCTAGTCCTGTTCCTACAAAGTTTTCATTCCATTTCATAATGCAAAGCATGTGGATATGATTATACACGGCTGTATAGCTAAATGTCAAGTATGTAAATGCTTACAGAAGTATTTATAGCACAGGCCACACCTCGAGATTAAAAGGCTTCAAGCACGTGCCCTTAGCATACTGTGCGCTGAGGTAGCTAAGATTTTTTTTTCCAGTGTTTAAATACACTTTGTTTCTCGCTGCAACCCAGTGAAGGTGAATTTTACAGTTTCCTCGAGGGACCAGAATAGCTAATGCTTAATCTTCCTAGAGCCCCATCTCCTATTATTAGCATAATGATAAAAACTGTAATGCCAGTTAAATATTCTGCTTGTCAATGACTGAGATGGTTATATCACTCTGTTCTTATTTCTTTAAAAGTCTAAATATTAAGAAATATGAAAACACAGTTTTGATAACCCATTTTACATTCATAATTATCAGTTTCAAATGAAAACTTATATTAATAATAAACATTTAGGGTAACTAATAAAAAATATGATTCAGTAAGTGTAACTTTCAGTATAAATTTTAAAGTTTCCTTAGCTGAGTATGGAATGACTGTTTTCGTTGAGTCCTGTCTGTATTTAAATATTCAATTCTCTCAGGCATTACTGTCCTTAAGACCACTGGAAGATTCCTTTTACCAGAAAAGCTTGAAAGGAAAAAAAAAAATCCCAGATGATAAATAGAAAGATAGAGATACTCTCATTACTTTAAGCTTTAAAATATCCAATGTTCTCTATATATTTTTATTTAAATTTATAAAAGTACTAAAACCCTCACTTTATTTCCCTAAATAAAAGGCCTTTACCACTTCATTTTTCTTCCACAGAAAATGCTGAATGAAATTAATCGTCTAACCCTCAATCTCCCAGCACGTGTGAAGACACACACACCAGTACATTCTTGGAGTTTGTTTGATGCCTAACTATGCAGGGAAGCCATTTAGCTTCGCTTGAAGTTAGCACTAGGGCACAGAACAGCAAAATAATAAAAGTAAGAAAGGGGACAAGGTTACGATAGCAACAGGCACAAAGAAGTAGGAAGAAAAACCTATAAGCCAAGTTCCAACATCATTAACGCCAGTTTCAGAGAAGGCATAATCACATATTCTTTCTGTGATTAGTTTGGGTGTGTTTTGTTTCGTTTTGTTTTAATGGTAATTTCCAAACACAGAGCTGAAAAAAAAAACACCATTAAACCCCAGAATCAGAGGTTTTAAGTTGATTACCATTTCACAGCCCTTTCCACATTCACAAGACACATAAGAATCATGATTTGGGCTTGCCTCAATTATACTAAAGAGGATACGATCATCTTTGCAAATGGTCTGCAGAGTTTTAGAAGATGTGTAATCCTTTCCAATGGTGTGAGCCACAGCCACACCTCATATAGTCTCAGCACCAGCTCCAGCACCAACCCAGCCAGTCTATCTTTCCTGCATGCGGGGAGCCTTCGAGCCAATAGTCAGTGCTTCTCTTTTCCATACTCCCACCCACTTAAATCCTAGCTCTCTACTGAGTCTAAAACACATGAAACTTGGTGACAAGGTCAAAATCTTATTCATCTTTGTGATCCCAGAACCTATCATAGCACCTGGCCCATATGGGTTGATTAGCAAATGATTAAGAAACGGAAAAAGTGAGGGAGAAGGGGAGGGAGAAAGAAGAGAGGCGGAAGCAGAGAGGGAGAAAGTCTGGCCAGATGTAAGAGAGGAGGAACCTTGTATTCAGGGACTGAAAAATGGATCGATTTGGCTGCAGCATCTGGTGAAGGGGCAAGACCATGGAACCTCAATGGGTGGAAGGGGTGAGGAGCTCTGTGGCGTCTCAAAAGAAGGGCACTAATTCCATTCCTGAGATTTCCATCCTCATAACCTAATTACCTCCCAAAGGTCCCCACCTCCTAATAGCATCACATTGGGGATTAGGTTTCCAACATAAGAATTCTGGGGGGACACAAACATTCAGTCCATAGCAAGTGCTTTTATATATAAGCATTCAACATTAACGCAACAGTATTCATTGAGCTTCATATAAACTTCTCTTAGAAACTCCTCTTTCCTCAGTGAAGATGCCTTTTCTTCCCTTAATGCTTCAGGATTGGATACAAAATTATCACCATCTCTGGTCTCTTGTCCACCCTCCTGTTAAAAAGTACTTCAATACCACAAATAACAATGGCAGTGTTCTCGGAATGCCATTCTCTGGAATCTCCTCATCAAATGTTCATTTATTCAATCCTTTGTTCATCCAAAAAGTATTTATTGAGCACCTACTATGTGCCAAGTACTATTCTAGGTGTGGAAACAATGCAGAAAAAAAAAAAAGAGTCAATGATCCTACCCCTCATGGAGCTTACATTACAATGAGAAAAATGAAAAAGACACAAGATCTATCTCAGTTGAATAAATGTTATGTTAGTGGTAAGTCAAAGAGAAAATAAAACTAGAAAGGAAGTGATAAGGGTGAGGAATACTGTCCTTTTTAAACTGAATTTATTGGAGTGACATTGGTTAATAAAATTATATAGGTTTCAGGTGCACAATTCCACAACACATCATCTGTATATTGTATTGTGTGTTCACCGCTCCAAGTCAGGTCTCCTTCCATCTCCATTTACCCCCCTTGGGACCTCCCCAACCTCCCCTTCACTCGGGCAATGACCATGCTGTTGTCTATGTCCATGAGTCTTTTTTTCTTTGCTTAATTCCTTCTCACCAAGCCCCAAACCCCCTCTTCTCTAGAGTGGTCCGGGAAGGCCCCAGTGAAAAGGTACATTTCAATAAGATCTGAAAGAGGTGATTGCTGTACTCGGAGCAGCAACATGCTGGACTTCTGGTTTCCCAGGCTCTCTCTGGCCACACTATTAATCAAATGAAGCGATCAGGACAGAAGGAGGAGCAGACAATTTTGTTCCTCCTTCCTCAGTTATC